AAGAATGAGTTGTCATATGGAAAATATGGAAATGTTTCCATTAATGGGAGTTGGATATTAAGAATCTATGTAGATTAGAAACTTTTATGCAAAAGGATGTTCAAAGGAATGTACTTTGAGTGAGAGACATCACATCTATAAAATTGTTTTGTAACAATTTCTGATAGAGAACTTAGTAATTTCATTAGCCAAGTCCTAGTGACTTTTGTGCTATGACTTTACGAAAGGGTCGTTGCATAAGATGTTAGAATCTAACATATTCTAATAGTGGCAAGAACCTTGTATTCTTACACTAATGATAAAAGATTAGGGATTGTGAAATGAGTTTCATTGGAAAAGGTTTTCAATTGATCTAATTTTACAAAGTATGGACCATAGGAAACCAAAGTGTGCATGCTTGGAGCATGGGACAATTGTGGTTATAATTCGAGTAATAAGTTGAGTTTCTGAAACAGTAAGCAATGAATAATGAGTAATCAATATGGTGTTTAAATAAAAGTGTTTTATTTACGCTCAAAAAGTTTTGGGACCATATAGGATTAATATTATTATTGCGTTTCACTTTGCATGTTTTGACTTCCAGAATAACTAGGTTATTCGAACCTCCATAGTCGGTCATACGTTGGAAGTAGGTATGAAGGAAGACTGTCATGAATCTGTCTGTAGATTGTCTAAAGTGTTTAGACATAGCACAAGTTTGCCGCAGAGTTCATGAGTGCTTTGATAAGATTAAAGTATTGGATTAAACCCACGCTCACTTGAATCACTTCATGGTTTTATCACGAGTGATTGGTGAGACGATAATATTGTATATTCTTGAAGCCAAGACGTGTGAGTTGTTACTTGCTGATCAGTTGCACATTGATGATAAGTAAACGCACCAGTAACTTGGTGTTATAAAACTTATTGTTGTGTGTGATTCGATTAGTAGGTGCAAGCGCAAACATTTGAGTCAAAGTTTATCCATTCCTTTTACCCAAGGTAGGATAAAAGCGATATATGTGGGCCCCTCGATGATTTAGTGATGACAAAGAAAAGTGCTCGGCCGGACCAGGGCTGATTTGATTTGTTCAATTAGTCAGTCGTCATAAATCGGAAATCGGGAAACGACACATAGACTGAGAGAATGATTTCAATCCATGTCTCATGTCTATACGATATCTTGTAGAATGGAGGAATATATAATCCCTTATCTAAAGGACACGCGTATCTGATAAAATCAGAGTTGACAGCGGCTTTTGGAAGCTACGATTGTTGATCAGGTTCTGAAGTCATACGCAGAATAGTTATTAGACTTATCCAAGTGGGAGACTGTTGGATTAGTGTCTAAGTCCATAACTATTTTGGTATATACTTGACCCGATTATGAGCATGGTCCTTTTGGGTTGCCTTCACCATAGCAATATGTAGGATGAATTAAGGAGAGAGAAAGGTTTAATTATGATTTATTAATATATTATAAGAACAATATATTAAAGGAGAAATCATATAGTTTAATTAATATTAGTCAAGAATTAATTAAGAATTAATTTTGTGACTAAAAGAGATTAATTAAATTAAGGGGACTGATATTGTAATTATAAGATAGTTACAAAGTTGGGCTTAGGATCCATTAGATGGCAATGGACGAATTCTATATGGAGGACCATAAAGAAATCGTCCAAGGGCCTTCTGGAATGGTCCATTGGACTGCTTAAGGCTTAAGCACTCAGATTAGGGTTTCCTAGTTGTAAACCCTAATAGCCTACATGTATATATAGGACCCCTATGCCCCAAAAACGTGGACAAGTGTTCCTCTAGGGTTTCCAGCCGTTTTTGGTGCATCCACTCTCCTCCCTCTTCATCCAAGTTGCTTAGTGGTGTTTGTGACTCCATTAGAGGTGCAACACTTGAGGCACTAAGCTTTCTGAAGCCAATCAAAGCAAGGATTGATTGTTATTGCTATATAACAATCAAAGGTAATTACTAAACCCTTATTTCAATTCTTATTTGATAGATCTAGGGTTTGTAAGTCTTGGATTCATTGCATGTACAATAGAGAAACCTAGATCCAAGCATTAGGGTTTGTATGAGCACATAAGATTGTTCTTATGCTTAAAACCCATCAGTAAAATGGATGGAGGATTGATTACAAAATTAAATGCTTGATAATCTTTATTTTCTTATGTTGTCTTGAAAATTGCAGTGCACAAGTATTATTGTTGCACCAAAGGAGAAGGTTTATGTAGATGATTCAATGGATGATATTGGTGAGATTCTAATTCTATTGGAATGGAATGACGAATTCTAATTCTGTTGGAATGGAATGACGAATTCCAATTCTGTTGGAATCACAGAAGTTGATGCTTGAAGAACGGACCACATTATTCTTTTAGAATGTATTAGTCGTTGTTAGATTTTGATGTTTTCTTCCCCGTTTTGATTGTTTTTTTAGTTTTATTCTTTAACAATAAATGTAATTCTTAACAATTGTTACCCGTATTCTATAAGAAATAATGTATTTTTTGTTTTTATTTTTCAATTGATTGTTCAAGATTTTGTTATTTTACAAAAAGTTGTTATTCTTCAAGAAGTTTTTAAAGTCATCATCAAGAAATAGGTTCAAGAATATTTTTATTATTTATGGTTCAAAAATATTTTTATTTTTGAATATACTCATAAACATATTCTGTCAGAATGTCCGAATTAAAAGAATTATAATTCGTAAAATCGGATTTTTAAAATTAATAGAATCTATGATCCCTTAAAAAGTGCAATTTTCCTTTATTAAATCTGTACTAATTGACTAAATTACCCTTGTAATTAATTATGATGATTTTTTCAATTATATTTAATTCAATAATATATATTAATCACTTTCTTAAAATAAGTAGATTTGATTGACCCACATTTATGCATATAATAACACAATAATTACTTTAAACAAAATAACCTAAGCCTATATATATATAGATAATATATATATATATATATATATATATATAATAATATATATATATATATATATATATATTAAGTGTTGATATTTGTAAGAACCAAGAACTTATGACAATTAAAATTTCTAAAAATATAAATATATATATTCTATCTATCATATGATGATTGTATATTTTTAAGCATACAGTCAGTAGTATTTACAATAACAAATAATGTTTATGACAGTTTTTTAACATTTAAATATGAAGAGTACTAATGATGATAGTATCATTTTTATGAATACATTAATTGATATTATTGCATGTAAATGTGAAACAAATATTATATTAAATTCATATTATGTTCAAGTATTAGAAACATGCTGGATGAGTGGTTATGTAATTTGATTTCAAACCAAGAGGTGGTGGTATCGGTTCATCTCCAAAAAATGATTAGCACTCGTCATCTAAGTCAAAGTAACTCGCCGAGTTACTTGAGTTTTAGTACAAAGGCAAAATGAAAACAAAAAAAAAACTAACAAAAAACCGCAAAAAAAAAACCGAACCGCAAAAAAACGCAATAAAAACCGCAAAAACCGAACCGCATAAAAACCGAACGGTGCGGTTTCTAAATTTCAAAAAACCAAAGTTGTGGTTTTCAGTTCGGTTTTGGCCAAAAACCGCACCGAACCGCACCATGTTCACCCCTAGTATTACTTATAAAAAAACCCAATTATATAATTATAATATTATATACACTGTTATGATTCTGTTTCCAAATAGACTGCTACCAAACTAATTAAGACATTTTTGTCTCCGGTTCTATAATTTTTTTATCTTCCAAACCCGGTTCCAACCGGACACATAACCATAGAAAATACAAATTACAATCATTGATTGAATCGACTGATTTTCAAAATGGGCCAAACTTCACTATTCACTAAAGAACAACCATGGAAACTCTCATTTAAGACCATGTCTCATATCTACTTAACATCATTCAACAATAAGACAAACTTTAAAGGCATAATGTACAATATTTTAATGCATAAACTGTTAGATCACCCAATGACGAATCAACATTAAATGCTTGTGTTTATGTACTGATTTCTAGTTTTTTCGTTATCAATCCATATATCTTATATCCTTTTCATCAATTTGTATTCTTTATCACCTTATTTAATATTACACACACATATAACTTTATGAAGATCACTTTGCTATATTTTAGCTATTCTTATATGTTTACATGAGTTGTTTGCATGATCACGAATAACTATATCGATGTATGCATGTATTATAAGGAAAAGAATTGAAAAAGTCCATGTACCATTTAGTCCTTAATTTGGTGTCAACATGGGGTCCCTAAGTTTTTGATTTTGTCCAAATCCAGTCCTTTTAACAAAAAACATGACCAAGAAGTGAAAAAATATATTATACTATATATTAAAACAAATTAGCTTAGAAATAATAAAGTTTCTTTGTTTCACACTTTCGCCACAAAGTCCACAAAGTTTCCTATTTCAGATTTTGGCCACCAAGGGTTAGGAATAATATAGTTTTGTGTTTCATACTATTGCCACGAGTTTTTTATTTTAGATTTTGGCCACAAGATTTTTCTGTTTAAGATTTTAGTCACAAAGACTTTTCTATGTTGACATTTTTTGTCCCTATACTTTCGTATGTTAGCACTTGCCACCCCATACTTTGCACAATGACACTTTTCATCCCTCTATGTTGTAAAATATCACTTTCATCCCCTCAAATTTAGATAACAACAATTTCCGCCCCTCACCTTTCGTATATTGGCATATTTACAAGTTTCACCCCTAAAATTTCGTTTGTCCACAAGTCCCCCCACCCCCAACCTAGAATTTCGTTTGTCCCTAGACTTTTATATGTTAGCACTTTCCGCCCCTACTTTGTACAATAACACTTTTCATCCCTCTATGTTGTAAAATATCACTTTCATCCCCTCAAATTTAGATAACAACATTTTCCGCTCCTTACTAGAAAGAATTAGAAATTAGAAAAAAAACATGACCAAAAAGTGAGAAATTAGAAAGAATTAGAAATTGAAAAACACGTTTACTTCCTAATCTTTCCCACTATACAAACTCGATTACCATAATCAACATTGAAATTTCTAGAAACTCGGTTTCCATAACCATAATTAACCATCTTAAATATATCTTAAGTACACATCACCACCCTCACTAGAAACTCAACTCCTCAATTCCATTCCGTATGCACGATTCCATTCCATCATCCGTAGTTTTCCGATCATCTTCTTCAACTTTAATCAATCCAACAACTTCCTCCAAGCATTCCTGAAACCGGAAGCAACTACAAAGATGATCATTAGTTATCCCCGCCACCTGCATGAACGAATAGATCACCGTGGGCCCCACACACCGGAATCCCCTCCTTATCAAATCTTTACTTATCACGTCCGCTTTCGGTGTTTTCACTGGAATCTGTCGAGGGTATCGGAATCTACTAATGATAGGTTTGTAGTTCACAAAGCTCCAAATGTATTTGTCAAATGACCCGAATTCATCTATCACCTGACAATTAACAAAACCTGCAAAAAGTTAGGGTTTGCTTGATACCCTTTATGAAAAAGTACAACTTTGAATGCATATTGTACAAATAAAAAAGATGATTATGTCACAATGCAATGTAACAAGAAATATACCTATCAAGTCATCTAGTTTCTAGGTGGGATCTTTATGTACAAAAAGTTAGGATTTTGTTGATACCCTTTGTGAAAAAAGTACAACTTTGATTGCATAAGGTACAATCCATAAAGATGGTTGTACAACTTTGACTACATAAAGTACAAATCACAAAGATGGGTGTTGATATTGAGGCATGTTGGTATAATGGCATAATCTTTGGTAACAAGTTTCAAAAGGGTATTTACGTCTTTTGCACAAAATATTAACCTTTATCACATTTTGGAGGATATGATATAAAAATTGTGATTTAGTTTTTTTTTTTTTGGAAGAAAGATTGAAAAAGATTGCCAGCGTAACAAATTGAATTTGATTGGAAGGATTAGGTTTGCATGAATGAAGCTGACACTTGAAGAAAGATTAAAAAAAAGAGAAAAATTGGGTCAACTTTATACAGAAAATTCATAAACAATAATACAAGTTGAAGAAACCCTAGGACCACCATTAATTTACAATTGCACCTACTCTACCAGATCTTAATCATTTCATTCAAATATGTCATGTCATGAATAAAAAAGTGTTGGCAATAAGTGAACAATAGGCCCATTTGGATCTTGATTCTTGAGAAATGTACAACTTTTAATGCATAGTGTACAATCCCCTTGAAGCAGAACCGATGTGTTTCGAGGGCAAATTTGTAAAAAGTCATTCTTTCTATATTAAGTTAGAAAGACACACTCATATATATAGCTAACCACATTAAGGGCATATCTATTTTTCTTTACCATTAAGTGTTGTATACATAAAGACTGTTTCTTTTTTGGAATGTGAGTAAATGACCATTTTACCCTTCATGGCTACAAGAGTTAGAGGATCTACCTTGGATATTTGGCGAGCATTTTCGACTATGGCCCGCAGTTTAAGCTCTGAAAGCAGAGAGATTGCAGCACTCCCGGGCCCCACAAGCTTCTTTTCATTTAATTTTCCAACAACCAGAGGATCAAAATCAACAAAAACTTCCCTGCATTTGATTGATTACAATTTCATGAGACAAAAGACTAAGGGCAAAAATGTCAATAATATTACAGAATGATAACTAACAGAGTACCTGAAAAGATGACGTTTATTCAAAATGGAAGGCCATGTAAGCTCTGATAAAGCCCCAGAAAGCACAAGAAGCTCAAACAGTTTTCTACATTTGAAGAAATATACAAATATATGAAATTATAAACTTTTATAAGTAACATATCAATATTCAAGATCAATTGTACACATACTTGTCATCATGCACAGGAACTCCCCATTCTTCATCATGGAAAATGGTGTAAGATTGATCTAGTTTAAGAGATGCAAAACAATCAGCATATAGTTCAAAATGACACAATTTTCACAAAATCAAAAGAAAAAGACAGAATCAATAGCAAATGATTATACCTGAACTTGATGTTACCCAAGAACACCTTTTCTTGGGCTGTAAATCATCAGGTGAAGTTTCTGAAGTACTATCAACAACAAGAGTTTTTGGTTTTAAACCCAATTGTCTCCTCCCTCTAACATTGCTATTTGTTCTATAAATCCTACCAGTAGATGCTCGACTTTGAAATGAATCAGTAGAAGCATCTGAAGAACATGAAGCATTGAGTGAAACCTGTCTGCGTAATATTGAAGGAACACCTGTGGAGCTAAAAGGAGGTGATGATGCTGCAATTCCTCGACTCTTTGCCCCTATAGACCCTTCTTCTGGGGACATTTCGGTCTTTTTTGATGTCTTTGATATGGGTTTTCGTGTGGTTAAAGGACCCAGAGATTTGTTTCCAGTAAGCCCAAGGATTGATCTTGATTCTGACTCGGTTACATTCATAGACCTGACTCTTGGAGCTCCAGACATCAAATGTGAAACAAATCTTATTTACCAGATTTACCCTTCAATAGAAAGTTCCCAGTTCTGATTTCTGAGATCTTAACAGATCATGATCCTTGGAAACAATCAAAGTAAACTCTGAATGCACAGTTACCAAAACCAAGATTGAATCTTTGACCCTTCAAATCTCACACAAGCAAAACATCGAACACCTTGTGGGCATTAAAATTTACTCGGCATTCAGTACAAAGAGGTCTATCACCACTTCACTGAAACTAAAATCCTTCAATTCGCCTCCACATACAGCCTGCCTTTTCAAATTATCAGATTTAGGAACAACGTATAAAGATAAAATGCCTGGTCAAACATAAAACATAGTCACCATTTTGACCAAATCAAGAAAGTTCATAACTTTCTTCAGACATCATCATAATTTATACACGCGCCATGGGTATTAGTTAATAGAAATCCACATCGGGGAACTTAAGTTTTGTAAATATCTACAGCTGTAAGGGAAGTGCTTCGAATCGGGAATCATTTGAATAATTAGCCTCGAAAAAAGATAAATTCTATGACACACTTCCAATGAGAGCGAAATATGAACGGGAAGTCTGTACTTTTGCTTATAATTTTCTCAAATCATTTAGGTAAAGCTGACATATTTTGTCTTTTTTTCTTGTTGCAAACAGATATACAAAGAAATACAGAAATGAGGCTTCGGATCCAATGTAAATGTTACCTGTCTCATGTTGCGGAAATGAAAGATGTCTTCCTTCTGAGAAGGGGAATGTGAGTGATTCTCTCTCTACAGGAGACCTTTTTAGAGAGAGAAAGATCGAGCAGCAAAATGATGAGTGAGAGCCAGAGCCAAAGGAAATCAAGAGAGAGAGATTGCACTTTTGCTGCCGATAGTTTCTTTCTTCGTTTTATTCTTTTTCTTTGAGCATTTTGAGTCCCTTTAATTTGAATTCAGCCAAAAAAGGTCCTTAGACTTTTATTGTATTTATTGCAATTTTTGTTTAGATCTTGCTTTTATATCTTTTTCGTTATTCAAAATCTCATAAGTTGAATTAACAAAAAGAACTTACATTTTTTTGTCACTTTCCCAATGCGTTCATCAACGTATACGCAACCTTGTTTATAATTCAGCTATATAATAAAAGATTTGGCCCACCATACATGAGCATAATAGTAGAGGTTTGAAATTTCAAACTCCATGTTCATGATTCAAACTGTTTAGAAATTTTACGATTGATCTTTCATGTTGTGGGTTTTGAAGCGGGTTCGACGTGGGTCGGGTTAGATGGTATTGTTTATTATTTATTATTTTGAGATATAATTACTGGGGTCTCTCCTCTCGTTGGTTTGGGGAGCGGGGGTTTCACAGCTGGGCATGCCGCTTTGAAAGCCGTTGCGTGCAAAGTGGTAAAGCACGAGAATGCATGTATAGAAAATCAACATGTGTTTGTACCTTTTGCATTCGATACATTTGGTTTTCTCGCACCAGAGGCGGTGGAGCTCCTCAATAGAGTCCAACGGGTCATGCATTCTAATGTCATATCTCCTAGATTTACAAATGTAGTTTTCAAAAGAATTGGTTTTGTCATCCAAAAAGGGCTAGCGGCGCAGTTTGTTGCCCGTTTGCCTTCAATCGATATGTATTGAACCTTTAAAACATGCATAAGATTGAATTTTTATGTAAACTCATATAGAATTCGAATAAAAAAATTTATTATAAATTTTGAAAAGTTTGTTAATGTTTGTTATTGTATATATTTTCCACCTTGTAACACATAAATTTTAAGTAAATTTGTATATATATTGATGTCAAATATATATTTTTCGATATGTACTCTAGATAGACCAATGTACTCTTTAATATTTAAAGAAGTTCAATGAAAAAATTATTCACACGAAAATAAGCATTTAACATGGCATCAAGCGAACTTCACACGTCATCTCGTTTCTTCACTTTGTTTTCATTGCTCTCCTCCCATCTCTATTCCTAAGGCCTAAACATTAAACAGTGTACCCTTGCTACCATGGTTTCTTTATCTCATAGTCATGGCAAGTGTTCAATCATTAACCACGATATCGATTGACAAACTATATGGAATTACAAACATCAATGGTTTCATCCCTCACTCTTGATCTTTACGAACTCAACTATGACTCTTGATGTGAATTATTTGAGACTCAGTTCATTGGATTTAGTGTGCTTAGCCACAATTATGACATAACCTCATGCAAGGAGTAAGCTTGATTCCATCGTCAAGTTATAGATTTAGGACATTATCTCCAAATCACTCTATCAAATGTTTCTAGAGAAAAAAAAGACGTTACCCGGGCAATCTAACAATCCTCGAAGACCTTTTTCGATAAAATAAGAAGTAGGTGACATCTAACTCGACAACAAACTATGCGACATCATGCATGCGGACCTCTCCATCATGTATTATTGTAAATGATGTGATATCAGCTAAGGGTTTTTGGGCCTTAGTGTCGGATCTGGATCGTAGATCTGGAGTGGTGTTGTTAGCGAGTCCCCGATGAGATCTTGATTTGCCATCATAGAACAAAATCGTTAGAACCACCGCATGGACTGTGCCTCAAGAGCCGGCTCTGACGATCAAGTAAGATTAAATATATGAGATGAGATGGTTTCTCTTTGAAGGTGAGAACCATCCTGGTAAGGAAGGGGAGTATATGAGCATAGTGAGTGGAAAACCTCTATTATAGCAACAACACCAACATGATTTTTGTCCATATTTAGGTAACCATGTTTTTTTCGTACACATTTGACCAATAAACTTGTTTGACCTGTTCATAATAGGGTAATATTACCGTAATTACAAGTCATATTACCCTATTTTGAACAGGTCAAACAAGTTCAATGGTCAAATGTAAACGAAAAAAACATAATTACCTAAATGTAGACAAAGACCAAAGTTCGTTACATTTCTAAGTCATTAACCCTTTCTTTTAGTGTCAATAGTTGATGGATGTGTAGAGTGTTATTCACAGCATGCATGCATTCATCTCTTAAAATATATCACCTTATTTTTAAAGTCATTTTGACAACCTTTCTATCATCCATAGATCTTAATTTTTTTTTTAAAGAATGCATTATATAAAAGCCACACGAGCAGAAAACAAAAAGAGACATATGGTTCATAAGCGGGTTTTGTAATCACATCAGTGACGGACCTTAATAGGAGCTCGAGATATCTTACCCCTTGAATTTTTTTGACACAATGGAATTTTTTTGAGTAAATTTTCGATATAGTATAATTTTTCCAACGTTTTTCTCCTAAAATTACAAATGTTATCTTGTCATTTTGTTTTGGATCCACCCCTAAACCATACATTCTAATTTTATTACGTTTATGATTCTTAATACAAAACCAATTAAAAAAAAAGTAAACTTTTTCTAATTAACCGGGTGTCATCTTGAAGTCTATTTTGAGCTGGATAATGGTATCAAAAAGGTGACCTCTTAAGTTGAATTTGGATTATTATATTATCAAGTCATTTGACCGGTTACATTTATGACCAATCAGCGTTGATTTTCTTAAATAAGATAGTTATTGTCATTTTACATAGTGGAGGGAGTTTGTATTGTAGCATGTTAATTGAAAGTAGAGGGAGTAAAATTGATATCTAGGGAAGGTGATGACTCCGAGAACCGGTAATATTACCGGCTATATCCGGTTTTGACTCGAAGTGTTTGGTAAAGCATTGAACAAAAGCAGAGTGAACAAGGTTCGGCCATTTTAACGAAACAAAACAAAACAAAACAATCCAATTTCAATGTCACGATACATAACACCACCTCTGCTTCATGTGTTGTACGATATGCATTCATGGTTGTACTTTAAGCCGAACTCAACGACATACAACTATAATCGCAATAATCGTACATAGTTCGAAATGATGTTTTGTTTCATTCATTCTGATAATTTAAGATGCATAACATGTTGTACGTTATGCATTTATAGTGTGTACCTTGTTGGCTTGCCCTAAAGAGCATAAATTGCCGACCATTTGGATGTTTTGCCTTGTTAGTTCCCATAGTTTGAAATGCATCGTGTGTTGTACTTTATGCATTCGTAGTTGTACATTGTCGGTTTGTCATAAAGTACATAAAATAAAAGTATTGATCATATAAAGTATGGACTTTTTGAAATGAATGTGTTGTGTCACTCATTCGGATATGGTTTAAGATGGATCACATGTAAGGTATGCATTTATTGTTATATCTTGTTTGTTTGTACTAAATTACGTAAAATACAAGTATAATTATATAAAATATAGACGTTTTGAAAGTAATGTTTTTGCATCATTCATTAAGGATGGGTTAATATGCATCTTTGCTTTACCTTGGTGGTTTGTACAAAATTATAGTTGTTAATGCATCATGGATTGTTTATTATGCATCTGTGGTTGTACTTTAGTGAATTCGCTTGAATCGTGTACTAATTGTTATGAATGCTTGATTCATCCTCCCTATAAGCTTTAATCATCACGTGTCCTACATTATGCATCCCTATAGCACTTGCTAGATTGTTGAAAATTATAACCATAAAATGATTATAATCGGAAAGCTTGTATTATCAAATAATCCTACTTTTAAAATAATAGAAAGAAAGCTTATAGTATCATGAAATTCATTCGAAACTGTTAGAATTAAGGATTTCAAATAACAATAAATCTTGAATAATTTTTAGGATCATGTATAAATCACTTCCGAAATATGTAATTCAACCTTAAGTCTAGGGTTACATGAATTAAGATCGTGGGATAATCCAAAAAACAATTCTAATTATAAGCCTAATCGGAATCTCAAACACATGATACTTATAATGATTGGTTTGCGAATATTTATATTAATGGTTTTGACATATTTTTAGTGACATAAGTCGCTTGAATAAATATGAATCTGGGATCTGTTTTCCAAATCTATTGAGTTTGCCCGACACTATACATATATCATCCCAAAAGCCATTTTGTGGAGTAGCGTGTGGGCCTTCTTAGCTGGGTGAACAATATCTCATAATTGTCGGAAATTATAGGGTTGTGGTGGAGATCTGGATACTAATTTGGATCGTGAGAACACTTTCCGAACTGATATTTCTACCCTATGCCTGGGTTGCAAGAAATTCAACCTAGGATAATCCAAGTGGACACTTACGATTCTAGGCACAGAAATCGTAAGCCAATTTGCTAGAGAGATTCTGTGAGAGTTTGATGAAAACGAGAGCTAATGATCGTAACCCTCTTCTGATAAGGAAGAACCGTTTATATATTAAACGAGATTAGGGTTTCATTAGGGTTGGACCGTCATTAATTGCTTTGGAAGCAAGTCAGGATAATCCGGATCTAATGAGGATTTAGGGTTACCAAAACTAACGAGTTTCGTTAGTTTTACCGTAATCACCCTCAAGAAATTGAATTTTCCACTATGTTCCCATTAGATCGTAAGCCAATTTGCTAGAGAGATTCTGTGAGAGTTTGATGAAAGCGGGACCCCAGCCAGGGGCTCTGCCCCTTGGACCCCGCTAGGGGCGCTGCCCCCGGACCTCCGACTAGTCGTCAAACCGGCTTCTAATTCGATCTTATACATGTGTGCATTCTGCACCAACCGTACATATATTAGAGTACAAATTAAGAAGCCCCTTAGCTCACATGTTAGTTCCAGTTACATAAAATGACATGGTGACACTAAAATCACCAACAATAATCTCTCAATTTTTTTTAAGAAAGTACTATGTATGTATGTTTGTATGTATGTATGTATGTTTACTTAGGCTATTAACACTTGTTTGCGAGATGGTTGTGTATGTTTTAGGATTTTATAGAATGATCAGAGGCGTATCCACCATATGCTTAGGTAGGTCCTAGGATCTACCTAAGTTCTCAAATTTATTTAGAATGTATACAATAGAAAAATTAGGAACTATCTTAGAAAAAATAAATGATCTACCTTAAGTTTGTTTTTTTAAAAAAATTCTTAAAAAACCATTTTAAAAAGAGAAATATATAAGTTATTAGGGCAATTTGTTATTTTAAATTATAAGATTGATAACAAAAAGTTAACCACTCTTAATCGGCACTCTTAAAATATTAATAAATAATAAGTTGTTCTAATAAAATGAAAGCCCACATGCCAAAGACTCTCATTCTCCGTTCGCCGCTTTATCAATGGACTAATAATCAACTAGTTTTTCGTTAAATCGTACGCATTTTTCAGTTATATTTCAATCGGTTTTTTAAAATTTTTAATCGGTGGCACAAGGTACATGAGCCGATTGAACTGGTTTAGTTCTTTTAAGGTACATGAGCCGACCCGACCCGCCCCAAAAGTGTTGTTGATTTTTTTATATTGGCATCACTTAATTTAAGAACCACTTGATTTTTTGTTCTAGATTCGCCACTGAGAATGATCAAAGAAGTAGCAATGTACTCGTTGGTTTATATAGTAGCAAGAATAAATAAAGATATTTCAAAGATAGCTATGATGTATCAAATAAATAAATAATTCTAACTTTAACCATGTTGGTTGCAAGCAAGTGTAAGCTATGTCGCGATATTAGTACTCTAGTAGCCTGTGGTGACATTTAGTTCGTTATTGTTGTCATCCACAAGTATGATCATGATTTTTCATGATTGCAATTTTTGAGTTTCGAGAAAATTATTTAGTTATATGTTCTAGCCCAGCGGTATCAGATGTTGTCCTCCCTCCTTGAGGTTGAGGGTTCAAGTCTCGTCTGAGACACAAGTGGATTTAGGAGTAGTTTAGGAATATATTGTATTTGCCGTTCAAAAAAAAAAATTAGGTATGGGCATCTTGAAGTGGTGTTATAACAAGAAGCAACAAGAAGAGGGGGTGGTGTTCATGGTGTTATAACACCCGTTAAGAGGAGAGAGATAGAGAGAGAGAATTTGTGCAGCCAATAGAAGATCATGACCACAACAAGAAACAACACAACTAGATACAACAAGAAGGGAGGGTGGTGTTCATCTTGTTATGACTAGGTTATGAGATGCCACATCAGCAATAACAACAATAATAGAAGATCACGTTTCATCTAGTCATGACCACAACAAGAAGCAACACTACAAAATTACATGCAAAATTACAAATCCATCAAAAACTTTGAGCATACGACATACAAAATTACATGCACCAATTCATCAAAAACTAAGCTTTTAAAACACTACAAATCACAAATCTTGAAAGAGTTCCATTCCATATCCTTTTTTCTTATAACAAAGTCCAAATTTTCAATCATGTTGAAACATTTTGTTTCTTTTTATCAAAACAACAAACTTTTCCATCTATCTAACAAAAATTAAAAAGTTTAAGATGATGAGTTGGCAACAACCCATTGGACCAAAGTAGGAACAGCAAAACCTGTTGCTGCTTTCTTCTTATCATTCCAAACAGGTCCAGCCATGTCAATATGCAACCACTCCACTTTTTCATCAACAAACTGTTTCAAGAAAAGGGCGGCAGTAATAGAGCCGCCCTGGCGGCCGCCAGTGTTGACCATATCAGCCACCCCTGATTTCATCGAGTCCCAGTAACTCTCCTCCATCGGCAACCTCCAAAGTTTTTCTCCGGCGACTTCCGAGGCGGCAACCACCTCTTTTGCTAATTCATCATTCGGTGTAAAGATGCCTGAAAAAAGTCAAAAAAACCACCATGTTTTCATAAATTTTGTGTTGAAATTACTTATTTGCCCTTTATCTATTATCACACATGTTGTTTACCTGCAATTGAAGGCCCAAGAGCAACTATACATGCTCCAGTCAGTGTCGCCAAATCAACAATCTACACAAAATTAATGATCATGAGGGCATTTTCGTCTTTTTCCATAAAATAGAAAGAAATATATATACCTTACCTTATCTACACCTTGGTTACAAGCATATACTAGAGCATCAGCAAGGGTAAGTCTACCTTCTGCATCCGTGTTGTTAACCTGAAAAATGACCATTTTACCCTTCTCTCTAGAACTTAAATATTAACCTTACATCAATTAAAAAAAAAAAAATTACCTCAATTGTTTTCCCATTTGAAGCTGTTAATATGTCCCCAGGCCTCATACCTGTCCCACTTATCATATTCTCACAAGCTGCTACAATAAAATGAACCTGAAATACCAATATAAATATATAAATATAAATATATATACATTTAAAAATAATAAATAAATAAATAAATTTACCTCGACTCCTGGTGGTTTAATTAGAGCAAGAGCTTTTGCAGCACCTAAAACCGCTGCAGAGCCGCCCATGTCAAACTTCATCAGCTCTATTAAACAACCAGGCCCAGTCTTGATGTTATAGCCACCACTACAACAACAAATAAATTCTAAAATTTAATTTCATGATGATGATGATGATGATGATGATGATGTGGCACCTGTCAAAAGTCAACCCCTTCCCCACCAATGCAAGCTTGGTTTTAATGGATCCAGTTGGAGGTTTATAACATAAATGTATAAATTTAGGAGGGTTTTCAGAAGCAGCAGCAACACCAAGAAAAGAACCCATTTTCAACTCTTTACATTGCTCTGTATCAAGAATTTTTGCACTAAAAACATCGCTATATGTTGAAGCAATTTTTTCAGCTTCTTCCGCTAATACCCCTGTTACAATCATTAAAAAAGAAAAATGAAAAACCACATTTTAACTCTATGTCTCCATCAACAATTGAAAATGAGAGGATAACGAACCAGGGGTAAGTACATTGGGAGGTGCATTTACAAGCTCTTTTCCCAAAATTACCCCTGAGCAAACATGCTCTGTGTACTTGAGTTTCTTTTCTAATTCGGGTCCACCTCCAAGGTTAAGAAAGTCAATTGACTTGAGAGAAGGTTTCTTCGACTCGGATTTAAATCTGTTATCTTCATATGTCCCTAACAATGCACCTATAAAATAAAAAATGAAATTAAGATGATATATAAATAAAATATACAAATAAATAAAAGTAGGTTGTTATTTCTTGAATGGAATATACCAGTTGCTATTGCTGAAGCTGTAGTGAGTTTCAACTCAGGAGTAAAGTCTTGTGATGAAGCAAGAGCAACAGCGACATTGTTAGCTTGAGAAGCTTTAGCAGATGAAGCAACAGATTCACCAAGACTTCGATAAGCAGAAATGGAAGAAGATGAAGTTATTGGGCCTTTGCCAAGCCCAATTAAGCTGACCCGTTTGGTTCCAAGACCCGGAAGTCTAAGAACAGTTGATTGTCCTACTCTTCCAGTGAAATCTTCCTCGGTTGATACTTCAGATAATAATCCATCTAATTGAGAATCGAGCTTCTTCAGGAGAAGATTTTGGAACTTCGAGTTTTCGTCTTTTATCATGTCTTTTTCGGTTACACCAACTGCTAGAATGTCTCCTTTCCAATCGACCAAATCGATTTCTTTTGTAGCGAAAGAGATCTTTCGTGTTTCAAAAAAGAGAGAGATTATCAGATTAGGATAGGAAATCAGTCAAGGTTATGAAATTAGGAATTTAGGATAGTGTGTAATTGTGTATGCGTATTGGTTAATTTGTTAGACAGATAGACGCACACAAAATGATAAGCAATTCGTCGAACAGTTTAAAGGCATTAATAAGTCAAAAGAAAGATCAAGTTTAAGAGTGGGACCTTGGGGGATTCGATATCGGCAGGATGAGTGAGGCCAAGAGTGGCCTTGGCAACTGTATGAGCCATACGTTTTCCTCTTCGAGAACAGAACAAGGGATTTACAGAAATTGCAGCAGTAGAGACTGAAAATGAAAATCCCAGATGGGGTATAGATCTAAACTTAGTGAAAATGAATGAAGAAGACGAAGAAGTTGAAGCAAGCAGAGTAAGAGAAGAACATGATGCTAGTCTAATGGGAGCTGCCATTTTCAAATTTAAGCAAGTGAAGTGTGTATATGAAGGCAGGAAGGAAAGAGTCAATGTGGAAAATGAGAGAACGAGAATTCGATGAGATTGATGCACGTTACAAGCAAAGCATTAACCATATCATTCGGCGTCAAAGATAATATCGCATTTGCCAAACATTTTTTTTTCTGTTTGAGGCTCATTCTCAAGACCTAAAAATCATATTTAACAGTATAATTGAAAAAAAAATTACTATTTTATATTTAAAAAAATCTAGACACTGTTGTATGGCAAACTAGCTATTCATTTCAACATTTTCATTTGATAGTATATGTGTTTCAAATATAGTTAGAAGTACATAAAAGTCACTATATATATTGGGCAAAGGTTGGGTAAACCAACTCGTAATTATGAAAGACTTATATATCAACATTCATTGGTATACTATGAGTTACATTACTCCCACTTTGGTGCTTAGATTCACATTGAATATAAACAATCATTGGTATACTATGAGTTACATTATTCCCACTTTGGTGCTTAGATTTACACTGAATCATATTTGTACTTATTCGTCATGCATCTTCTAGATAATACATCAAACATTCGTTTTCTTAAAACCTTGTCGGAGAACCATTTGGACAAAAACTTGGTCGAAGGATAAAAAAGTACGATTTTGATGTTTTGAGCGAAGGAAATAACCATACATGAAGTGTCTCGTTAAAATATTGATAAAAGAAAACTCAGTGAGACAAAAACTTTTAAAGGACAAAAGAGTATACAATTGTTAAAGAAGCATTTAGTTGGATACTCGCCCGGATTTTCATTAGTAAGAATGTCGTTTTTGTCAAGATAAACCTAATAGGATAAAACCCTTGAACTAAAGATAAGAAGAGTACACCAACATTCGTCGGGATGCTCCCCCCTCCCCTTTCTCCCACCATGCACTCGACATCAGGGTAAGCATACATCAGGATACAATCCTTACTTGTACATAACTAGGCAGTGGTTGAACCAGGAAAAAATCCAAGGTGTAGCACACATAATTTTGGGGGTAGAACGCCGGAAAATTTACTAATTGTCAGGAAATTTCCTAAAAAATTTACCCTGTGCCAGAAATTTAAGGAGTAGCACATGCAAAGTTGGAACCCCCTGGTTTTTGCCCCTGTAACCGAGTACGTGATACATGTCACTTAGGTAGCTCAAGGGTGTTCACAAAGTTCAATGGCTCTTACATGTTTTTTGAATGAATATTTTGGTAGTGACTTGGTGAACAAGTTTGCATGATTCTTCTCTTATTAAATATGTTGCACTTCAATCTTTTAAATTTCTTGTTGTTCATGTGTAAAGAACAATTTTAGAGATATGTGCTTAGTGTTATCCCCTTTGATGTAACCATGTTTCAGTTGAAAAATAACAACAATGTTATATTCTTATATGACAATTGGTTTATTAGGATCTTAAGCTAAATTACATGTACTTCGAATATGGCAAGTTACAGATCGAAGCCATACACACTCTCTAGTCGCCCCATAGAGCGCGAGTAGTTCGGAGTGATTCTTCGAAGTGGCAACTAAAGTTTGTTTACAAGACCTCAAGGATATCGTCGTGTTTCTGATGGTAAAGACATAACTAGATTAGGAACGTCCCTTATACGGGTCTGATAAGTATCCTGCACCGGCATAGCCAACAAAGATCACGTTATTTCGAGTATCATTTGGGGTAGATCCACTCAATGACGCGTAAAGAGAGAATAAACCCATATATATAGTACCTTTAAGGTAACATAAGATGTCTTTAATACCATTTCAGTGGAAATTTGTTGGCGTAATGTTGCGTCGAGCAAGACAACTTATAAGAAACGTGATGTCCGGTCTGGTACATTGGGATAAGTACAATAATGCACCTATTACACCCAGATATGAACACTCGAGGCTTAATATCTCTCCAGTGTTTTCCTTTGGACGGAATGTGTCATTTTTAATATCTACAGAATAAACGATCATGGGAGTAGATGATGGTTTGCGTCATGATGACTAAAATGTCTCAATACTAGGGGTGAGCATAGGCGGGTACCCGGCTAAATTTGATGGAACCGGAACCGGAACCGGCGGTTCCTAAGATGTTGGAACCGGAACCGGCCGGTTCCGGTTCCGGTTCCGGATACCCACTTTCAAAAAAAATTAGAAGAATTTAGTTACATATAATTGTCGTGATTAAGTAAACAAAGACCTATGATTGTTGATATTAAACAATTTTATCGTGGCCAATATTTCCCTTCCTCACGATGACACTTTGTCTTATTTTCCATATTTTATCATAAAAACAATGCTAATAATTTTGTTAAACTGTAATCATACATAGTAGTTTTCACTGTTTAACAACCAAGTCTCAAAGCATCAACCTTTTTGTGCTTATGTTGATTAAAGAACTTGGCAATATTAATATCATGTTTTTTAAAGTTGGCCAAACATGTTGCTGCTTGAGTACTTAGCGTTGATAATATGAGTTGTTCTTTGTTGAACTTATTATCCCACATCACAAAAATGACGCTATATTGGGAACAGAGTTTATATAGTTTATATTCTTCAACACAATGAAAGACGAGACATTTTATATATATATATATATATACACACACACACACACACACACACACACACACAAATCGGTTCCGACGGGTACCCGGCGGTTCCAAAAAAATGAGAACCGTAACCGGAACCGCTTAAGTCGGTTCCAAAGCTTTAGGAACCGGAACCGGAACTGCTTAAGGCGGTTTCGGTTCCAGAACCGGCGGTTACGAGACGGTTTCGGTTCCGAAAACGGGTACCCTGTTCCGATGCTCACCCCTACTCAATACCTTCTAAGTGTAATTTTCTTGATGAAGTAAAATCTCATCTTTACGTTGCTCAATCTGTAGGTCGAGGCAATATTGTTTCTTTGGAAGATCTTCATCTCGAATTCTTTTATCAGAACAGTGTCAAACAATTCTTTTGAGGTTCCTATGAGGTTTATATCATATGTGTAGACTATGATAATTACGCACCAAAAGTGGATTTCTTTATGTACATGCAGTATTATATCTCATTGTTTAAGTATCATATTCTGATCAAGTACTCACTTAGACGGTTATACCATATCTACCCGAATTGTTTCAATCCATAAAGAGTTCATCTCAATCTTACCGAGAACGTGTTGTGTGGTCTAGTACTACTTGATTCAGGTAACTTAAGCCCATCAGTGACTCTCATGTCCATCTATATGTTAAGACCTCCGTAAAAGATAGACTGCGACCACATCCACAAGCTGTATATTTAGTTTTTCGAAAACTACTAAAATGATTAACATCCATACGGGAGAATATGTCTCCTCGTAATCAATTCTAGGGCATTGAGATAAGCCTTTTTCCATGAGGCAAGTTTTGTACTTTACAATATCATTATTTTCATTACACTTCCTTACGAAAACTCATTTATTACTAATTGATTTAACAATAGTTTGTATTGGAGCAACATGTCCAAACACCTTTATTTAGGCTAAGGAATCCAATTCATCATAGATTGATTGTTTTCATTGAGGCCACTCCATTCTACGTTTGCACTCAACAATAGTAAATGGTTCTATGTGATCATCGCTCATAATATTAGTGGCCACTATGTATATGAAGACATCATCAATGACAGTCTTGTTTCGCTTCAAAATATCGTCTAAGCTAGCATACTCAACAAATATTTTCAAGATTATCGGGATGATGAGAAATTGGTGTTTCTTCGGAAACACGCTCATTTAATACATTACCATGATCCTTAATGATTTTGTGTGGCAAAACGGATGCGACATAATTTCTTCTCTGCCTAGGTTGAACATCCTTGGAATCGAGTGGCATTCCTCTTTTCTTAGGAAGAGTGGCAAACTAGAGAGTGATGATGTACGGTGGGTATAACCGATGCAAAATGTTCGGTTGGAACATGGTGTCACACATAGACGTCTATCATTACAGACACATTTACAACACATTCATGTTTTTCTTATTCCAAAAATCATATATAAACTTACCCTAAATGTATAAACCTAATAAAATACGATTAAAACATTAAACAAGTAGAAAACTTACAAAGTTTTCATAAGAATAATGTTCTTAAAACAATTAGAAAGAGTAACGAGGATTTCTTCATTTATGAAAATTTGAGTTATTTTCAACATTTTTAAGGTTTATTTATACTTTCCGGCCCATTAACAGAAAATGAGCCCAACTCTCAGTGCGACAAAGACAAATACTAGTTGGTGAAGCCCAAATCGTGAGTGAAGTTAATGGCTTACGATTTGTGACTATTTTTGAAAAAAAAAAAACGTTAATTTTTGGCTAGTAACAACTAAATCAAATGAAAAGTTAATGATTTATCTATATACTAGATTTGCGTATTTTTATTAAAATATAAATTAAAATAAAGTTTTACCAATCTATGTAATTATATATTATATATTCTAATAAAAACTTTCATTTAATAAAAATTTACCTTTGTTACATAAACTTATAGTATAAAAAAATAACTAACAAAAGTAAAATAAGTTAGTTAACTGAATATGTCCTCGACCTTATGTAAGATAACATCCTACATGCATTAACAAGTTGTACCTTACAACTCATAAAAGCATACGTATAAGTTTGTTAATGTACAAGCACATGATGCAACAAACTAATCAGCGTCTGCAGTGAAATCCGGTTCTGGAGGCTTCTGCAACTTCATCAATTCCCGAGCACTCTTCAGGTTCCGATTCCGGTGAACTCCACGAAGAGCATTAGCGGCAAATCTCGACGCCAAAAAAGTAGCTCCAAGGCTATAAGAGCTTCCACCGCCACCACCACCACCACCACCACCTCCATTTTTATGCGCTGCCAATTCCGCTTCCTCTTCCTCCTTCCGCCGCTGCTCCAAAATCTTCCGTTTAGAATATCTCCGCCAGGCCGCCTGAATGAAACACGCCGCCCAAGTCCGCCACTGCTGTGAGTAAAATCGGAAAGTGTGTTGTACCTGTCGACTGTGAAGCCGCCGGAACTGACCGGCGACGAATTTCAATTCGTCGGCCGGTAGGGCAAACGCTTCGACTTCTCTCAACGCTTTGACTGTTCTAGTGGAAGACGGAAGGTTAGCTCCGGATTTAGGGTCCAACGCCCATGTTAGAAGCTCCTCCCCGCAGAAATCTCCTTCTTTTAGAAACCCGCTATTGAAGAAACCGCTTCTTCCGCCGTCTGTGGTGGCGCTCTCGAGACGACCGCGTATTATGAAGAGCATTTCATCCACCGGATCTCCTTCTCGAACTATGTAAGTATTGTTTGTGTATAAACACGGTTTCAATCGTTCACAAATTGCATCGAGTAATGTCTCATCCATGTTCTCAAACAACGGAACCTGCAAATTTCGATTGGAATTAAATCATTAACGAAAATTTCACTTTTTGATCATGGATCTGAAATGTTCTTACCCGCTTGACTAAACCTAGACAAAGATGACGTTTTATGTCTCTTCTGAGATCCTTGGGTAGATTCTGAACCAAATTTTCTTCATCAACTCCTCGAGTTTCTAACCATTTGTATTGATCATAGCGTCTCACACGTTCTCTGAGATCTTGTGGAAGTAATCGATGATGCATCCATTGTTCTGAGTCACGTCTCTTCACTCTCATTTCTTCAAGTCGGATTGTAAGAGATTGAAGATACGTCTGTTATATAGTATAAAAAACAAGTTAACAACTCTTAATCTGTTAATCAATCACAAACTAAGATTCTCATATATGTTTTAAACCTGCATATTGCCAATCAACAGAGCAAAGAGAATGAGCCCAAATATGGCTAATGCAATGGAAAATATACTCTCTCCAGGATAAGTGCTGGTTTCAAGCCCCTGACCAAGTGTGCTGCCATACAAAAACAAAAACAAAATTCTCATTCCTTAAATGTAAAAAATAGCATCATACTTTCGTTTATTTACATAACAAATTCTAAAAAAATAAATATAAAATATAGTTATATACCTCAAATTCTGTAGGCCCCACCAGAGGCAATAACAGTACTTTGAAACAAACTTTTTGGAAGAAACAATCCCTGACGACAAAGCCTGTTTAAAAATCCCAAAATCAAAAGGCGGATTATCACCATCGGGAGAGCAAGCATCTTTCAAAATCTGGCCACTAACATCGCGCCACCTGTCATAACCCGCCATGCGTTCATTCCCACAGTACAAAAAATTCTTATTAAAATGCTTCTTTTCACAAGCTCTTTGCCAACATGTATCGTTTCGTTCAACAGACAATAAATACCAAAACGCCCCAACTATCTGAAAACACAAACTTCCAATTAGTCAATTACGACATTGTACTTTTATTTTACGGTAAATTACACGGATGGTCCCTGTGGTTTAGGGTAATCTGCATGTTTGGTCCCTAACAACTTATTTTTTAACTTGGACCCTCCCTACTTTATATTTTTGTTGCATGCTTGGTCCCTGTCCGTTCTAAAAACACTGATTTACCAGGACCAAGCATGCAACAAAAATATAAAGTAGGGACGGTCCGAGTTAAAAAAGTTATTAGGGACCAAAACATGCAGATTACCCTAAACCATAAGGACCATCCGTGTAATTTACCGATTTTTAAAGTATAGGATATGAAAGTAGGATGCTATATTGCTATAATGAAAGTATGTTGCTATTTTTTGCATTTGACTGACATGACTGGCGAGCATGTAGAGCAATAGGTAGTAAGCAGCACCGGCCCATGCGGTTTCCGCAACCACACCCGCGGTTCTTTTGAGTTCGGATGTTAAAGGGACGATTCTTGCAAATCTTGGAATGTATTGAAGGAGTATGATAATAAGCAAAGCTTGTTTTGTAGCTAATACGTCTGAACCTCTAGACGTATGTAGATATCTCCACACAACTATCTGTAAAATTGGAAAATCAAAGTAATTATCTGAGTCCTTGAAAAACCACAAAACACATTAATTATCTAACCTGAGGCAAGGGAACAACCGCAAGGAAATCGATTATAAAATACCACCTCATATATCTCTTAGCAATCTGGCCAGGATCTATCACAAGTTCACCGCGTCCAAAAACCCTAGATGAAGGGGCAATGTAAGCAGTGCGGAATTGAAGGGCCATATGAATAAGATAAAACACATCCACAACAGTTCTCAAAGTTGTAGCAATAATAGCCAAGTTATTATCAATTCCAAGGCATGTTTTTGACTCATCAAAAACCGGAAGATAGAAGAAAAGTGGGTCTATGGAAACTGCGAGAATACATGAAGCAACAAAGTATTTGTTCCATGTGAGTAGGAATGTATCTTGAGGGTCGAGGATTTTGTTTTCAGAGGCTTTGAGGTCTTCGGGGAACACAGCACGTGAAACACCAAACCCTAGTGATCTACCTATGGATTTCAGGCTTTCTGATCCTTTTCTGATTCCGTTTTTGAAGGATTTTGAGGAGGTGGGAATTGGGCGAGTTGGACGGGTTGTACTTATACCCTCGAATCCGTATTTGTTCATTGGAATTGATGATGATCTTGAATCCAAATCTTTCAACCTTCAAATGGGAAATGGAAGTGAGGTGTTAGAAGAAATAGAATAGCAGAAACTAGACGAAAAATCATGCAATTATATGAAACTGCAGAATTATCATCATTAATAAATAATCAATTACATATTGTCGTAAGTAGCATCCTCTTTCCTCTTTATTGTTTAATTTCATCTTCATTCATTGACTAGGTTTTTATTATATTCTATCTACAACAAGTGAGATCACCATCTAGATTCATATATAATTGTAAAATTACAACCACAAAATCCTACATGATCACACTAATTTCAATTTTCAAAACCCCTTTGGGAAAACCTAATTCTTCAATTTCACTTGATTCATCTACTATCCCCAAATTCATCAGTAATAGCTATGACTGCGTTAACCTTACAAACAAAAGAAATCGCCTACAGAAAAGTAAATACGATAGCTCAAACGAATCTGACCTAATCAGGAAAGTAGCTAGCGAAGTCAGATACAGTCATCAATTGCATCAAAGGAAACCTTTTTGAGGATAAGCTAGAAAGATCGGTGAAAATCATACTTACTAGACTTTCAGTGAAAGCTACTCCGCCGGATTAAAGCATCACCGACACCAGAAGAGTGATAACTGTCGCGCCGGATATATGGAAATTTCATACAAAATGAAGCGATAGAGAAACTGAAAACACGAAGAAATCTCAAAATTTGTTTGATGAAGAGATAGGAGCAAAAGAGTAGTGGCTGGCGGAAAGTATGTCTGAGAGCACCCAGCTGGTAGAAGCTGCCGGTAAGGAAGGTTGGGGGAGGGGGTTGTATTTGTGTAAATAACCCTTGAGTTTTATATGAGCTCAAGCTAAGCCCTCAAGTCTTTAATAAATTGCTAATATGCCTAAAGAAAAATAATATGACCCAACTAGCTTATTTTTTAGAACTTTTTCAGATTAACGAGTTTTTTTTTTCAAATATACTATTTATTTATTATAAAAACTCAAATCTTTAATATATTTTTATATCATTTTATATATTTCAGATAGTTTATCAATTAGTTTATAATTTATCAATTAGTTTATAAATATTATTTTTTTTATCAACTTTTTAGTTAGTATGTTAAATATAACTTAACAAAAAATTGATATATGTTTAGTTTTGGGATAGAAACATTTTGGTTTGAAAAAAAAAATTGTGTCTTTTGTTTTGAAAAATATTAAAATGAAATTGTTTTAAACTTAAAAAAAAAAAAACATAGATTCCAAGTTGATTCTAAATCTATTTAGAAAACGGTTTTCCAAAACTCTAAAATCGAATGAAATATAATTAGTCAAGTTGACTATGAATTTTGTTGGTGCAACTCATGGATCGTGACAAAATTATAAAAATGGTCCTTATGGTTTGTATTTTTTTTCCTGGTTTTGGTCTACACCTTGAGAGATTTGGATAAATAATCACTTTGAGCAGATTTTTTTTTTGTAGTTTTGGTCCTCCATGTTAATTCTGGTTAACTTGTTGTTAACTCCCTCATGTGGTCTTCACATGAGGGAAAATATGTCTTTTTCTCTTGGAGGACAATTTTTGCAAAGTTTAAATTTGTTTTTCCTTTTAAATTCGTCTTCCCCATCGTTACTCTGCTTCCCCAACGCCACTCTTCTTCCTCTTCTTATTCTTGAGCTTTCGAATACATCATGGTTCTGTGTTTTTGTGGGAGTTTGCAGTGGTGAAAACCTCAAGAACAACATTGAATCTTAGAAGGCGATTTTATGCTTGCCCTATCAAGGTAAGTGAACATTCATACACGTGTTTTTGTGGAAAGTTTGTGATTTTATGCAACGATTCTAATTTTTTTCCACTAAAATCATCTAGATCTAACAAGCATAAAATTTTACATTACAAAGGAATATGTTTGTGAGTTATCGGGTGAATTGACCTGCCCATGTGTGCTAGGGTTAAAGCCATCATACTTGAACTTCTAAGAAATATCAACTAGCTAGAGGCATAATGTAATCCTTTGAAGGATGAAGCTTTCAAGATGAAAATGTATATATTGTCAAGTTTGATCATATTTATGATTGTGTTTACATGGTTTGTTTAGGGGTTAGTGTTAGAAACTGTGGGTTTTAGTCAAGGTTGCAGAAAACGCTCGACGTAGGCTCGACGGTGGACCGGGGTCAAGGGATTAATCGGCTAGGCGGGGATTAATCGGGGACCATTAATTATTAAAAACATTTTTAAAAATTTGATAAGTTTAACATTAATCCTAAGAATATAACATTATAACATTCAAGAATTTTGAATGAGTTCTAATCCTAAGAATATAACATTATAACATTCTAAGAGTTTTGAATGAGAACTCAAGTAACCTAAAATGATATGTAATTGTTGCATTTTATATAACACATGATCAAATTACTAGAATCCAAGCAAACCAAAGAGCACATAACAACCAAGCTGCAGTTTCCTTTGTTCAAGTCAAAGACATGCTTTCAGTTCCTTTTCATGTTCTTCAAGCTGCAATTTCATTTATTCATCATCAATGGAAATCTATTGAAGCTGCTCATCCACCTTCTTTTGCATCATCTTATATGCTAATCAAGAACAAAGTTGGGAATTAAGAAAAAGATTCATCATAAACCACTATAAATATTAATATCTAACAAAAGTTCATACCTGTTGGCCAAAAAATTAGGACCCCCGCTTAATTAGTGTTGCAAAATGAACTTAACCCTCCTAAGAATCAGTAAATAAAACAAGAAGTGGAGAGTGAAGAACTTGACCTAATTGCGATGGCATGGGTAATCGGAAGGAACCCTAGCATCAATCCAAATTTTGTTCTTGCTATTAACAAGAAAAAATCGAAGATATTCATACAGATTTCAACTCCTGTGAATTTCTTGAAATTCAATTTCAGAAATTAACCCCAATATAAAGTCGATTTCCGATACACAACCATTACCTGATGTTGTTGTCGACAAGTTTGACGGGGTTGGAGGGTGGCGCAGGCAGAAAAAAAGGCGGATGCAGAGGTGTTGGGTGTGGCAGTGACCGGTGGGATGTGAAGGAGATACAACGTGCGACGGTGGCCTGTGAAGGAGACGACATCGGTGGTGCTCTGTGAAGTCCCTGTACAACATTGAAGCTTCATGTTTCTAGTGAAGGAGGAGAGTAGTATAGAGGGTGTTCGATGGAGTTGAGATGTATGGAACTGTTAAAAATTTGGTATCCCACATCGCTTGTGGGACAATAGATGATCGCACACATATCTTATAAAAGGAGAGTTGGATCCTTCAAAAAATCAAACCCAACAATGTGGTGAGCTAGCTGGTTCTTTTGAAACGGTGGTTAGCTGGACCCATTTGGCCTATTTTGAGTCCGAGTTGGACCGATTTTGTCCGTATTGGACCGAGTTGGACCGGTTTTGACTGATATTGACCAAGGCCGATTTTTCTACCCTCTAACCCTTATTCGTAGGCGGTTGGAGGCCGCCAAGCGTCTAGGCGCCGATTAATCGGCCGCCTAGACCGATTTTTACAATATTGGTTTTAGTGAACTAAGATATTAGTAGAAAATGAAGGGTTTTGTTGTAAGTTCAGTTGGAAGGCATATGTAATGAAACTATGTTGTTAATGAGGAATACATATTTATGGTATCCATTATATTCCGCACTTGTAAAAAATGACCAAATTGACCAAATCTAAACACATTGTAACAATAAAAGAAGCAAATTTACAAAAAATGTCATTGCACTAGTCATTAAACCATCATTAAAACCATACCATGTAGTAATCACAAGCTCCACCATACATTAAACCAAAACATCAACTACTAAATCTAAGAACATAATTTTGTAACAAGCGACATTCATAACAAGTTTTCAAGAAACCAAAAACTAGTTTTCAAGATAAAAAAAGTACTTGTACCAAAACAAACAAACCTAACTTCATACCAACTTACTTCGTGGCCTGACTGTCACTTGGTCGTTTACATGTCATGGAGTTGTGTCATTTATTCTTGCATTTGGCACATGTAACATTAACATTCATCCTTGATAACTTATGAACTTTATCATCACCAACATGACAACCTTCTTCTTATGTAGAACCTTGACTTCCCCTTTGACTTTTGCTCAACCTTTCACCCTCACTTTACCTTCCATTATTATTAGGCCTTCCTACCTAATTGTGACGTGGAGGAGGAACAAGCTTTGTTGGACACATACTTTTAGGCCACATGGCTCTTCCTTTTTGTTGGCTCCACCTTAAATAGGTATGTTTTTTTCCATGTATCCAACTAATAAACCTTGTGAACCCACTTGCAAATACCAAACTCATCATATGAGTTTTTTGTCATTTCATTGAGAGTTGCAATGACATATTTGCAAGGAATTCCAATTAACTCTTATTTTCTGTAAGTGCAAGTGCTCTTCTTAATATCAACCACGTGTTGATCCTACCAAGCCCCAATAACATATTACTTGTCTCCATCATTCTACCTATCATAATATTGTGAAGTTTGTGTTTTTTGTGCCTCAAGGATGCTTGTTGTTGTTGGTGTCAGAGGACTTTTGTTGGTTTCATTTCTTTCATGAAGTTGCATGTCCTACTCATCAAGTACTCTCTAATGTACTCTAAACAATCTATGATAGGCTTGTCCCTCCTATAGTCTATCTTCCCATTAAAAAATCCACATATGTTTGATATCAACGCATCACATATTGCACTTTCTGTTGTGTACGTGTGTTGCTCTGGAATTTTTTGGGACTGCTTCAGATGTTACTTCAGGAGGCAAAATGTTTAAGATGGAAGGAGCAATTCTTGATATCCCAATACTCATTCTAGTAGATAGTGGAGCTACACACAAGTTCATTTCCCGACAGTTGGTTACATCCCTCGATTTACCTTTCACAAACTGCTCTAGAATCAATATTAAGTTAGGGAATGGGCACAAGGTTTTTATCAATCAACAGTGTGTGAGTCTAAAACTGATGCTAGGTCAATATGAATTTATGGTGGATGCTCTCATCTTCGATGCAGGAGATTTGGATATGGTTCTGGGAATGGATTAGCTAAAAACCTTGGGTGACGTCATCCATAATTAGGAGGAGAAATGGATAAAATTTAATTAAAAAGGTACTTTGGTACATCTCCATGGAATGGGAAGGATACAAGTGACCTGTATGGTTAAAGGTTTTTGTCACACCCCAAAACCGGAACGGCGGAAACGTTCGGGGGCGGAGGACGTCATGTTTAGTATCACAAGACATGCATCATAGTAATCAAAGTAATAAACAACCATTTCATTAGAAAGAAAGTGTTTACAAAGTATGTGGTTCACATAACATAGACTACAAAGTAAATAACAAAATAAGACATGAAGCTATTATGCTCTATCTTCTGAATCCCAGTGTGCGTACCTGTCTACTGGTCTCCTGAGAATGCAGGTTATTTTGAAAGAGTAGATTAGCATTTAAGCTGGTGAGTTCATAAGATTTTAGTGATGTAAGTAAGTTGTAAGTTCTGTTTAGAAAAGTTTGTCTGTTCCTCCAGAAAATCCTATATTTCCTGCTTTGATGAAAGATAAGTAAAAATGACTCTACAATCCTTTCTATGAGTACTAAATGGATACAAGTTATATAAAACCCAGAGTAAACAAACAATCGGTTGTGTGTATCTGCCCTAAGCCCACAACCAAACAAGGAACAGAGAATGAGACGGAAGGCACACATCCCATTGTTTGTTAGATCATCGTTGTATATAACTCTGGCGTATTCACTTGGTACTCACAGAGTTAACTGTAATAGTTCCTTTATAATTGATGAAAACATTCTTTAAGAAAACCCTTATTTCTTTTAGTAAAAATGGTAACCACAATAGTTCCTTCTATAATCACTTAGTTTATACTACCTATATATATAATCTAATATCGAACATATAGTTAGTTGTGTGAATCTGCCCTAAGCCCACAACCAAACAAGGAACAGGAAGTAAGGCGGAAAGCACACATCCAACTACCTATCGGATATTAATTATATATAACCCTGTTGTATAAACTAATGTATTATAGAATTAACCACCTAAGGTCCTTTAAGTTATACTGGTTTAATAAAATG